GAGTTTTCCGGGTTGTTCGAAAGTGGCTTCGATTCAAGCGAAAGACTCCGACGGCGTTGTTCTTACTGGACACCATTCGCGCTTGCTTGGAAGAAGTGGGCAAATCGCAGGTGGCTACAAGAGCGGCCCGCGACGACCTGAACAGCATCCGACTACTCGAAAGAGAGCCTTGGATAACCTCCATTGGACCCAGTGCGTTGATAGAGGTTATCCAGGCCTCTTCTTGTACGGATGTTGTTCATAGCATCGCGGGCTGCTTGTGTAGCCAACTGCGATTTGCCCACTTCTTCCAAGCAAAAGCGCGAATGGTGTCCATGACCGTGAGTTGGTCAAGGGGGAACGTCAACATGCCCCCCGTTGACGTTGGGACTGCCTTCGCGAAAAACTACGTTTATGAGGAAGAGGGGGTACGCAGACGTTACCCCTAATCCTAGCACAACTTCCCCTATCGCATGCTTTATCTGTTACTTAATCGAAGGCTGCTGACGTTGTGGGCTCGCATCACCTCACCTGATTGATAGGCGTGGGCTGCTGCGAGCATATCCCATCCGCAGAACCGTCTATCGTACGGTGTGTCACGGGACCGCCTTCGCGAGAAATTAATTACATTTGTGAGGAAATAGAACAAGGAGGGGGTACGCAGACCCTATTTCCCTCACCCTAACCCTAACCCAACTTCCCCGATTGCACACTTTATCCAACATTTTTGCTTATTCGAATAAAAACTGCCAACGTTACTGGTGTCACGCACGTGTCTCTGCGATCACTTGGCTTGTGGCCTATGCATACATCTACCGCAAACGACTCTGGGCTTGGCATCTTTCTAGGCAAATCGACTGCGTGCATCACACGGAACCTCTCGTAGCAAGGGACCTCAAAACCGCGATTATGTTCCCCGCAACACTCCGAAAACCCCGACCTCTCCGTTTCTTGCCGCACTGTTCGCACGTGTCGCTCTTGTTTCCTTCGACTCGCCAGAGGTGTGGTAAGGAGCTTACTATCAGGGGTTTCCTATGGCAGCAGAGGCGGCGAGCGCGGGGGATGCTGGCGACAGCATCTTCCAGCAAATCCACGACAGGTGTGTGTGTGTTTTATTATTAGCATCGACCGCGCTAACCGGCTGACCAATGAAAATACGTCGTCTCAGTGCGGTTGAAAACACAAAACACTTCCAAAGGCCATTAACTGGGACCCCGTGAGGGGACGGCATGGGGGAGCCTAAGTTTTTTTTTGTGTGTGTGTGTGTGTGATACAACTAGGCTACATTTGGAACGAGCCAAGGTAATGTGCGTTGCTTTGCTCTCAGAGAAGAAGTAAGGGTGCTCATGGAGGTCACGGAACCGGTAAGGTACGGTACGGTCGGTACCTGGATGCGCGTGGGGGTGACAGAACCGTCATTCTCCTCTCCATGCATCGCCTTCCAAGGCCTTATCTCTTGTCTCCTGGCCGACCGATGGTTGAGATGAATAGCACAACCGTTTGCTCGGTCGCCCGCAGCATGTGGCTTCCAGGAGGCGCTCGCGAAACGCGCGCTTTGTGTACACGTACGTTCGCAAGTTACCTCTTTCCAGAATCCAGCGTGCGCCTCGTGTCCGTCTGCCTTGTCTCTCTCTACCCCCCTCCCCCCAGTCTCTCTGTCCTGTCCTTCACCCTTCTCTCATCATGTGGGAGCGACAGCTATAATATCACTTCGTATCCTACCGCTGCTTGGGCTTGACGTTTTTTTTTTTTTCTCCCAGGGATGTGCGCCCCTGGCTCGACCTGGTAGACGAGCTGAGAGCGCACGGCATCTCGCAGGACCTACCTCTCCCGCAGATCGCTGTGATGGGCGATCAGAGCTGCGGGAAGTCGAGTGTGCTCGAGGTGGGTACCGGCGGCAAAAGTCTCAAAAAAAGTTTTTTTTGTTTTTCTGAGATTTTTTTCTTTGCGTGTGTACGCCTGGACAACTACTGTCGGAACGACGCCGTTTGTATGTTGTGTCTTGTTTCGTAATACGTCCGCCCCGGTGTTACTTGTGTATCTGATCGTGCTGCAGAGTGCGTTTGGCCGGCTGGCCAATGGTAGGTCCACGCCATTCGGTACCCTGCAACGTTGGATGTACCTTCGTGGATACATGTCTTGGAACTTCTTGTTCCTTCTGTTGAGGAGTCTGTGCGTCTCGTTGCAGTCATGGGAGAAAGAGCCGTCAGTATCGCTGCGTATCCATGCAGCACAGCAGCACCAGCATCTAGCTTTCTGTAGCGTGGGTATGTTTGATACTATTGTATTCAGATCGCGGTCAGGGGAGGGAGAACAGGGCTTTGCGGGAGTTCCACGTCCTGGAGAGTTGCGGCGGTCTAGTCCAGTAGCCTTGGCAGGGTTTTTGTATTGAGGAAACATGTTGGATAAAGCATGCAATCGGGGAAGTTGGGTTAGGGGTAGGGTTAGGGAATACGGTCTGCGTCCCCCCTCCCCGGTCTATTTCCTCATGAACTTATAAATCGCGCAAAGGCGGTTCATCTAGTCTCAGCTGATTGCGTGCCGGAACGGTTGCTGCTTTCCACTGTCGACGGATCCCTCTCTGATACCAGTATACTTCTGGAGAGCCGTTTTTGTGTTTATGGTCGACATCGTATTACCATGTTATCGTCACCGTCCTCGTCTTGACTTACTCCCGACACGGAACACCGAGCCGACATTAAACGCCTTTGTGTTATTCATGCGTGCGCCTGTCTGTGGCTCTTTCTTGCCTAATGATCTCGCCACCGTGCCTTTTTTTGGTCGCCCTTGCAGAGACTCTCGTCTGTGGTTGTTTTGTGTGCTCGATAGGCTGGCTATCTCCCGCATACCATTTGTTGTTGTCATCGGTCCCTGTAACAACTTGCCTGTGTCTGTGTCCGTGCCCGTGCGTGTGTGCTTGCTGTGTGTGCTCTATAGGCTATCTCCGGCATACCGTTCCCGCGAGGGTCAGGCCTGGTGACGCGGTGCGCGACGCAGCTCATCATGAAGAGCAGCCCCAAGGTACAGTACGCATAGACTTCTACAGCCACATGTAGGAGAGGGTTGTGTTCGGGAATGTACTGTAGCTGCGAAAACACAAGCCCCTCCTACATGCAGCTGTAAAGGTCTTTGCATGTCTGTAGTTTATCGGGAAAATTCCACGTTGAATCTTCGCCCCCGGGAGGGCGTCGCGAGCTATCGACATAGATGTATAAATACCCGGAGTAGACACCCCCTGACGCAAGCCTTACAAGTAGGCGTATCAACTCTTTGTAACTGCCGAAACGACAAATGCCAGCGACGTAAAATAACAACAAACCACGACGACGATGTCGGCAGGGCTCCCCCTGGAAAGCAAGCGCCAGCATCCCGGAGCAGCAGCAGCAGCAGCACGGCGCCTCCAGCCTTTGGAGAAAGACCAAGAGCAGCACCAGCAAAACCTCGGCAGATTTCCCGAAGGGCCCGAGGTCTGCGTCCACGCCCGAGGAGCTCACGAAGGTAGCGTTGGTGCCGTGATTTTCTGAGTACGACGACTGTTAAGAGAGAGAGGGGGGGGGGGGGGGGGGGAGTGGAAACCCACTTCCGGCAAGAAATGCATCCTGTATAAAGTGAAAGACAGGAAGATTGGAAATGTAGACTAGACCGTGTGAACACGGAGGTGGTGTGAACACGCACGAAAGGTTGTCGGGGGCTGCTACACAAACATGCCCGCGAGAAATCCACGGTCGTTCATCGACGCCAAGGTTAACAATACAACGTGGAGAATCTTGTCCTCGACGGACTTGGGGTAGATACGTAGACGTGACCCCGTTGTACGGGTAAATACCCTGTTCTACGGGTAAATACCGTGATTTACGGGTAAACACCCTGTTTTACGGGTAAGTCTTCAAGGGTGTGGATTCCTGCGTAGCCCCGGGCAAAGGGCGCCGGTGTGAAGGACGGGGGAGCACTTACTGAAGGCATGTGTTGGCTGGCTCGTTGGCTGCGACGAGGTGTCATTGCTTCGTTCCTTCCTGTCCTGTCCTGTCCTGCTGCTGTCCTCCTGCTGCTGTCGCCTTCGCAGCGCGTTCGCGATGAGAGAGAGAGTTGGTGTTGACCTTTGAGGATCGAAGGCCTGCCTCCGTCGTGTGGAGTGTTTGGTGGTGGTGTTTTGTGGTTCTGCTGTTGCTTGTTGTTGCTGCTGCTGCTGCCGCTGGTGTTGGGAGGGGAGCCAACCACTGTTGATGCGCCAGCAGCCTTTGATGGGGCGTTTGGTTCACGATTTGTTTAGATAGGCGCCTGTGGAAAGGAAGCTTGATGGACGGTGTTGGTGTTGTCGACCACAGGCTATGTGTTTGTTTGACCCTCTCGTGCCAGCTAAGCTCTCCCGTGACATGATCCCGACGTGCTTTTCGTGTGTACAGGTGATTGAGGACCTTCAAGACGCGTTGACGGCGGGAGACCAGGGGGCTTTCTCGACGGCGACCATCTCTGTGCAGGTGACACCGATAACGCCGTTGTTTGCTCTAACTGCACCGTTGTACATGTACATGAATGGTTTGATGGGATGATGATTCCATGTAGCTCCGCCCGAACGGAAAATAGAACACTTGAAAACAGCGTCCCCGGCATGCTATTTACTGTAGAGACTTCAGTATGGCTAGTGTAGCGTCAATTCGAACGTCAGAACAATCATTAGGGCCAGACCGACCGTCAACCCTGCACGATCCGTGTGCATCTTCGCTTCCCGCCGCTTCGTCGTGATATTAATTTCGCCGCGCCGCCTTTCCTTCCTTTGGGCTCCGATGACAAAACACGATGCCGATCCGTGTGCTTCCTCCCCCTGCTTTCGTTGTGATATCAATTCCGCCGCGCGTGTCTCCTTGTAACCGATACCAAACTCGATGCGTAACGTTACGCGCGCTCGACCCGTGTAACCGTACCGTTGTGATATCAATTCCGCCACACCTCTTTCCTTGAAACCGATACCAAACTCGATGCGTAACGTTACGCGCGCTCGACCCGTGTAACCGTACCGTTGTGATATCAATTCCGCCACACCTCTTTCCTTGAAACCGATACCAAACTCGATGCGTAACGTTACGCGCGCTCGACCCGTGTAACCGTACCGTTGTGATATCAATTCCGCCACACCTCTTTCCTTGAAACCGATACCAAACTCGATGCGTAACGTTACGCGCGCTCGACCCGTGTAACCGTACCGTTGTGATATCAATTCCGCCACACCTCTTTCCTTGAAACCGATACCAAACTCGATGCGTAACGTTACGCGCGCTCGACCCGTGTAACCGTACCGTTGTGATATCAATTCCGCCACACCTCTTTCCTTGAAACCGATACCAAACTCGATGCGTAACGTTACGCGCGCTCGACCCGTGTAACCGTACCGTTGTGATATTAATTCCGCCACACCTCTTTCCTTGAAACCGATGATAAAACACGATGCGTCACAAGGTCCAAGCGCCGGGGCTACCTGACCTGACCCTGATCGACCTCCCGGGGATCGTTCGGACGGCTACGAAAGGCCAGCGGACTAGTGTCATGGCCGAGGTCAACGGACTGATCCAGAGGTGGGGGTCGCGTGTGATGGCTGGCGTATTGTACGTTGGTGATGTTTTGTTGTTGCGGTCGTGGTCTTTGAGGCTTGTAAGCGTTCCGTCCCTTCATTTTCCGAAAGGTATGAAGACAGATTTGCCGTGTGAGCATCACACAGGCTAAACCCCAAGCACGATGCAATTGATGTCAAAATAGAGCGAATGTACACACCTGCAGAATGGAGAGGACCACGAGTGCGGGGAGCGAGATCGCGCTTTAAAAGCGGCAGTCCACACCGTTCGTCAACGTAGTCTTTCGCCCTTTCTTCGCGGCTAACTTCCGTTTTGGCCTAGTCGTGCCGACGACGGTCAACGAAAAGCATCCAAGAGACAGCAGTCGTGTTGACCGTTTTTTTTGTATATTACAGAGAGAGAGAAAGGCCGCGACCTTTTCGCCTCGGCTTGAACGCGATGTGCACTCCGGCCGTGTATGCTTTTTTTTTTTTTTTTTTTTAGTGACACAAATCCACACCTCTGCAAACTAACGTTCTGCGGTGTTTTTTTTAATTGTTGTGTTCACTTCAAACTAGAGCTCACAGCATTTCTGTCGATTGCTCCAACCCGTGGTCACACAGAGGGTGAACAAATGACGAATTTTCAAAAGAGTGCTGTGGCCAACGATTATGTGCTTGTCCCATTTTTGTTGGTAAATCCCGCCCCGCTGGTCTTAGTTTTGCTCCTGTACTGTATGCATACAGCAGCCGTATCACAACCTTTGTTGTATTTTCCCTACCCCTACCACGCCTAACTGCCAACGGCGAAGGTTTTTGGAGCAAGAGCGGACGATTATCCTTGCAGTGGTGCCCGCGAACCAGGACGTCGCCCCGGTGGACATTCTTGAAAGGGCCAAGATGGTGAGGGGGGGGGGGGG